GGGGGGGGGGAGAGAGAGAGAAAAGAGAGTGAAAGAGAATGCGTGAAATCTCGCCGCAGTATTCCATTTCCTGCGGCTTTCCTCACTCTCAGAAAGCATTTTTCTCTTCCATGCTTTGATCCATTCATCTCGTCACTCGCGACTTTGCTTCACCCCCCCCTTTTTTTGCTTTTGCTTTTGCTCCTCAATAATTTTCAAACGTCATGATCGACACTTGCACTCGCTCGATGGGGTCGAAGAAGGTGGTGGTATGCGACCGCACGCTATCTGTCTCTCTTCCCATCGACCCTGCCGCTGGCAACAGCGAACTGGCCGAGACACGCAGCGGTGTTTCAAAAGTTTCCCCACTACGCTGTCTTGGAACAAAACAGCGAAGGGGACGTATGGCGCGACGGACATCTAAACGCAGCGACACCTGCACCCCGTCCACTCCCGACCCGGCCGTTACTGCACAGCGCTGGACGCGTTCCTCTTCAGCGGCCTCCAGTAGTGCCGCCAAATCGTGCGTGAGGGCATGTGTGCGCAGGTAGTGCAGCCCGGTGCAACGCGCCATGGATGGCAGTCTGTCGTGGCCACCGCCACCGCCACCGCCACCGTCGTCACCCCTGAAGTACGGCGCAAGGTATGGGTGACAGCTGGCCTCGTCAGGCGTAAGACGCTCCGCCGGGTCCCATGTCAGGCAGCCAAGGAGAAAATCCAAAAACAGCAGCATCACCGGATCACTGGTATCGTCGTCAACCTCTAATCCTGTAACATTTCTGACCATATGCACGGTGGACTCTACAGCCTCATTCTCTTGCTGCTGCTGTTGTTGTTGGTGTTCTCGTCTCTGCGTCGCCGAGCATTCCCTCACCTTGATATTAAGAAGTTGTAGCAGGTTAGGACCGTGCATGGGACGCGACCGTGGCGCTGCACCACACTGCAATGACGCAAAGAAGGCTTGCCTCTGTTCGGCGTCATTCTCGTCACCACCTTCGCTGGGCTCGGCACGTAGACCCTGCAGCGCCCGCTGTTCTGCCAAAGTCGGTGCACCCAACACGGTGACGTGGCGCTGCAGGAGTTCTGCATCCGTTACGACCTGGAACAACGGTATTCCTGTGGAGAGCTCGTACATAATGCAGCCGAGCGACCACATATCAATGGCAGGGCCGTACGGGAGCCGCAGGGCTGCCTCTGGGGCGCGGTAATAGAGAGTTTGCACGGGATGCGCGCATGACGTGCCAATGTGTGCACTGCCAAAATCGATGATGGCAATGTGTGAGGTGACGGCGTCTTCGTCATCCACCTGAGAGCCAGCGCTTTTGCGGCCGACATCGGTCCAATGCGTCGGGGAAAATGTGCTGTTCGAGGCGGTTGTGAGGGGACTCGTACATTCCAGTACTTCAGATGGCTCGACACAGCTTTGCATCTCCTCCTCCCCCGAATTCTGCTGCTGCTGCTGCTGCAGTATGCTTGGAGGCAACGCGCTGTCTTGCGGGCTCCTATCAACAAGCATAATATTCTCCAACTTCAAGTCGGCGTGGGTAACGCTGACGGCAGAGAAAGCCCGCAGTGCTGCCACCACTTGCGCCGTCACAGCGCGACCAAGAGCAGTCGGTAGAGAGCGGAAGAGATTTACGCGGAGCAGCGTCTTTAGGTCAAGCCCATACAGAGGAAGCACAAGGACTTCATGTGAACGGAATGTGAAACGCGCCAGCACATGCGGCACCCACACTCCCACCTGCTGTCTCGAACGTCGGAGAAAATCCAATATATTCGCCTCCCGCTCCAGCGCCGCTGCGTAACAAGGGAGACACCTAGCAACTTTTAGTGCACATTGTTTTGGTGATGGCTGCGCCGCATGATCAAGAGCTCGCACTACACTCCCGTATGTACCACTACCAAGGACTTCAATTACCTCGTATCGGTACGCTATGTGATCGCCACAGACAATGCGGTAGTAGTCCTCCTTACTATGGAAACATAGAGGGCCACATAGTTGTTGCTGTTTCATATCACTTTCGGCCAGGGACGCCGTTGACACGCCCTGGGCGTGCGCTCCACAATAGTAAACATCACGAAAGCTCATGATCTCTTCCTGCTCGTACGGTGTGAGGTGACTTTTGCACTTCACTAACGCCTCCACCGGCGTGATGGGCAACGCATCGCGTTCCCACCCCGAAAACAGGCAGCAGCAGTTTTCGTCGCCTGCCTCACCCGCAACACATCGTTTGGCGTTGGAGAGCCTCGCACAAGTTCCCGAGCCACCCCGCTCAGCGTTGGCGCGTGGGCGATCCAAGCCACGCGACACATCGCCTACACTGCAGAACGGCGCATTCCTCGCACGCGGCCAGCCACCTTCATTCTCGCGTGTTGCTTCCGGGCCCACCGGCGCACCGCGTGTGACGTCGATGTTGCTCTTTGCCGTGTGCCACGCCTGAAGCGGCAGCGGCCGGCTTCCGGTGGCCAAGGCGTGACGCGTGCAGACCCGCGACGAGCTGCCCGTCGCACCACCGCTGCCCAGCATCACGCCGGTGCACGGTGTCATACTCGGCGTGTTGCCGTGGCTCGACACGACGCACGACGACCCCGGCGTGGCGAATTCCAGACGCGAGCGCGCCGATGCGAGACTGGCCCGCTCGTGCAGCGACATCGACATCGGCGTCCACCCGGCGTGGTAGCGGCGCATCGCCACCTTCGTCGTCTCCGACGCCTCCGCCGACTTGCGGGACGACACGGTCTCCATGTCGTCCGCCACGTTCTTCATGCGTGGTGGTTCCCTACAGCTTGCGTGTATGTGGCAGAGAGACAGCGGCAGGGGCGTGGGAATAGCCAGTGGGAAGAAGGAGAGAATACACACATAAACAAGGGCGAAGGAGAGCGAAATGAATACGGCGTGTGCGTCACATTTTTTTTTCTGACGCCTTTTTGTGTTGCGTTAGAAACACCTTCCACCCACACACACACACACAGAGGCAACAACACGCGAGCTAATATGGTACAGTACAACTTTGGCTTTCTCGCCAGTGTGGGTTGGGGGAAGGCCACCGGCTGGTGTTGTCCAGCCGAAGCCGTGGCAAAAATTTGCTTTACAAGCACTCACAGCAAGGGCTAAAGCACACATACACACGGCGAGAGACCCAACTAGGCATGGAGGACAGTCTTCATTTCCGTGAAGCATGTTCTTCCCCACATCATCCACCGCGTTAACACGCTCCGTGTCACATACACCAGAAACAGAGGGCCGCATGCGAGCAGCAGGCCATGCAGCAACGCCGGTGACACTCCCGCCAACCGCATTTCGTCAACCGTTAAGATATCGATAATGGTGAGGATAAGTACAAACGGTGCGGCGAACACGAAGAGCATACTTTGCGGATCACGCCGTGTGGCATGAGCACCATACTTCACGTGGAGATCGTGCCGGTAATCGAAGTCTGTTAGGTAGCGGGCCGGGAAGGCGTAGTACGGCCACTTGCCGGAGATCCACCGCACACCCAGGCGACGCAGACGACAACCACCACTCTCCTTACTGTAGCTAGGCTGCTGCTGCTCCTTTTGGCGGCGCGACGACGCCATCTCATGCAACCCAAACGAAGCGGAGATACCTCGCTGCTCGTGTTGCCGCTTGTCACGGACCCATCGCCCCATCTCGAGCGTCATGTGCCAGTCACTGTTCAGCCAGACAATGTACATCGCAAAAAAGGCGACAAAGAAAATACCAAGCGTGGCGACAGCCAAGTAGAGTGGGCCCAATGCCCTTCGCGTGTTCAGCGGGTACGCTGGCGGAAGCTGCTCCTGCGAGGTGGAGGATGATAATGATGATACCGTCGAAATTGAAACAGAGAATGAACCTGAGGGAAGCACCGCGTCTCCATCCACTGCCAAGGAAGGGACGATGGGTGGCCCATAGTGGTAGCGCACCGTCCCCATGTAGTTGAAGAGGTACATCGTAAAGAGCGCCAGTACCATCTGCAGCGCAGTGAACACATTCAAGAAGACATAGCGTGAATAGAACCGGAAGCTAGAGAGGAATGCATCTTGCACTGTGCTGGTTGCCGCGTGCTTGAAGCGGAAGCGCGGCGCATGTGGGTCATCGTCGAGGAACGTAAGAGCGTCAACCACCGTGTCGGCCTCGCTGGCCTCCCAGCGGAAGAGTGCGCTTCCCATCTCACCCGCTGTTTGTTCCTTCCGGCAATGAGAGACGCAAGAAGAGAAACAAAACACAACAAAAGAATATGAAAACCTGGGAAGTGATCCAGCGTTCTGAGGTCCACAGATTTGCGTGTGTTGTGCCAGCAGAAGCTCCACCAGAAGCACCGAATGGAGCTCATGCGAGAACGGCCCCCTTTCCCGACCCGCTGCATCTTTCACTCACTTTCACACACCCACTTTCATGATCCTTCCACACTCCGGCGCTGCAGCCGCCGCTCGTTCTCCTGCACCTGTATCTCGTCAAAATGGGACTCCGCCACGGACTCTGCCGATGGTCCCACAACATCCGCCTCGCGTAACTGCGAGGAAACGGCAACACCGTCGTCACCACTCTGCTGCTTCTGCTGCTCGCGCTGCTGTCGCCGTGACCGGGCTACATCCAGCTTCCGCTTCAACTTCTCCGCCTCATATTGCGCCTCTTCGATGCGGTCAAAGAGACCTATCTGTTTCAGCATGCGGTGCAGCCGCACGTTGCACTCGTAGTCAAGCGCTTTCTTCTGCGTCTGCCACATGTCCCTCCGCTCCTCCACGTCGACGCCGGTGAAGGCAAGGCGGTACTCGTGCGCCTCCGCGGTGCTCAACGCTCCACACGTGCCGTGTGTCAGTGGGTAGTCGGGAATGCCACACAGCGCCCGCATCGGCGCGGTGTGATTCACCAAGACGCTCTTGCAGCAGCTCATCGCGCCGATGCCCAGCCACACCGGCGCAACGTACGGCGGCAGCGAGACACCAAGTGCCGCACCGGCGAGTATCTGCGAGAGCAGTGATGCCACCACAAAGACACCCCATGCAACAGTCATGTTGGTCTTCACCTGCCGAATCCATGCGTCCAGACCGTCACTAAATCCCATACGACGCTGCAGGTGCTGCTGTGTGTTGAAGAACGTCAACGTCGCTGCGAGAGCCAGCGTCGGATCCATAGCGGCGCCTGACACGTGGAATGCCAACGGCGCTGCAACATCGCTGGCACCGAGGAAGTCGCCCAGCTGCTGTGCCGGAATGCAGAGACTGTACAACGACCCGAACAGTGCTGCAGCATGGGGAAGCACGAGCCGCGCATTATCGGTGTTGTAACTCCGGAATATGCGTTCACGGTCATTTTTGAGTTTCTGTGCGGCCACCTTCTTTTCCCACAGAATAGCACGCGGGTGGTTGACAATCTCCTTGTATTCCTTGTGGGCCTCTTGCAGCTCGGGCAGCGCACACGCCGCACGGGCAAGACAGCGATCGCCGAAGATGGTCAGCGGCAGCAGCAGTGCACGGAACATCACACCACCGAGGAATAGCACGCCAAACGTATTTTGCACACCAGCGCCGTTCGCAGCAACGAGAACAATGTTCGCAAGAACAGTCGATACCGTCCCAATGCGGCGGACTGGCGTGCCGCGCAACATCGCTACCAATTCCCTTTTCTTTGTTTAGGACTATGTGTGAGTTCACCCAGCACCCCCACCACCCTTTTTTCGCTCGTCCCCAAGCCGCCGGACCTAAGAGAGCCCATGGAAAAGCGAAGACACACCACACGAAGCAAACGCACGTCCATGTGAAGCATACATACAATAATCAAATGCCCTTTTTTTTTAACCCAGAAGAACACGACAAAAAGTTCTTTTCTCTCAACCAGACTCATCCACTTCAAAGGATCAATACATAGATGAGACACCCGCATTTCAGAAAGAATAATCCACGCCCCCCACCAGATGGGAATCAAGAAGCATACGTTTCCGTACATGTGTCTCAGGGTACGAATCGATAAGGCTTTACTTTTCATATGCGGCGCACCGCGTCCAAAGGTGTCCTAAGCTTGTGTCTCATCACAGGTGCAGCAGTAGGAGTGAGCGGAGGGAATCGAGCCCATGCACAGAAGGGAGGGGGTATACGCTTCCGTACATGTGTCTCAGGGTACGAATCGATAAGGCTTTACTTTTCATGTGCGGCGCACCGCGTCCAAAGGTGTCCTAAGCTTGTGTCTCATCACAGGTGCAGCAG